ATTTTAATTAAACACTTTTTGGCTTAATGAAAACACATTAGGTCCATAAGGTACGAGAGTGTTTACAAGTATACTCTATCGAAAGTCTTTGACTTGATTTCTATGAAAAGCATCTTTTTGAAAAAGAATGATAAAAATATTCGTGCTCAATTTATCACAGATAACAAATAGGTAGTTTAAATAGATACTTGTAGATAACAAGTATGGTAATATTCATATTTGTTAAGTAAAATTACTTAAATATTTATATTTGACTTCAACATGTTTTTAATTTATTAAATTTAGGATAAATTTGTTTTTGTCTCTTAAATTTAAAATTATTATTTTTAGTTCATGTAATTTTTAAAAATCTTATTTTAGTTCTCCAGGTCACCAATAATATATCTGAAAATGATAAATTGAGAAAATTATGCATCATTAACTAAATTTAATGTAATATTTTTACTAATAATGTTAGAGTTCAGCCATGGAGGAGAGAAAACATAGAGAAATATTTTTCTGTATTGATACTCAATAAAACTTATTACAAGAGATGAATAAAGTGTCTTATATAGACACAATTACAACTGTTAAAAATAAGGAAAACTAATAACTAATACAACTGTACAAATTTTATGACTTTTTATTATTTTCCTTTACACCCCCTCTCAAACTCATGTTGGCTACTATCGTAACCATGAGTTTGCTGTGAAATGCTTCAAATTGAGGACCAGAAATGACTTTGGTAAGTATATCAACAATCTGAAATTGCACAGGTAGATGAATAACTTGGATAGCTCCTTCAATAACTTTGTCCCTGACAAAATAGAGGTCAAGTTCAAAATGTTTCGTTCTTGAGTGCATCACTGGATTAGCAGCTAACAAAAACTTGTTATAGACTTTCTGTCATCAAGATCTGATCCCCAATCATAATCAGAAAAGGCTTGAAGAGTGAAGTGAGTTGGCCTTTTAAAATGTAAACCATAATCAATGGTGCCTTGTAAATATCTAAAAATTCTTTTCAGTGCTTTCTAGTGATGTTCTTGAGGTTTATGCATATATTGACATACTTTGTTTATGGAATAAGAAAGTTTGGGCCTTGTGATTGTAATATACTGCAGACCTCCTACAATGGACCTGTAAAAAGAAGGATCAAACATAGCTATAGAAGCATCAAATGTGAGTTTCAAACCTGAAACCATTGGTGTTGGCAGAGGTTTGGAATCATCCATTTTAGCTTTATGGAGAAGATCACAAATATATTTAGCCTGAGACAGAAAAAGACCTCCATCGTTGTTGGTTGAGATCTCAATGCCCAAGAAATAGTGTAACGGTCCAAGGTCCTTAAGACTAAACATAGAGTTTAACTTGGATATAAGTGTTGTAACTTCAGATGCTAAACTGCCTATGACTATAATGTCATCAACATAAATCAACAGCAACAATGTGGAGTGAGGTGTTATTCTGATCAATAAAGAGGTATCACTCTTAGCTGGTTTAAATCCCATTTTGAACAAAGTATTACTCAAGGTTCGAAACCAGGATCTTGGGGCTTGTTTTAGCCCATAAATTATTTTGTTGAGCTTGCAAACTTTGCCTTTATGTTTGGTATTAAAACCTAGAGGTTGAGCCATATAAACAGACTCTTTAAGAGCCCTATGCAAAAATGCATTATTAATATCAATTTGATGTATATGCCATTGCCTAGTCAAGGCCAATGTAAGAATAATTCTGACTGTAGTTGGCTTAACAACTGGAATAAAGGTATCTGTGAAATCAAAACCTTCTCTTTGATGAAATCCCTTTGCAATAAGGCGGGCTTTGTGCTTTTGAAAAGTGCCATCTGCATTATATTTACACTTGAATACCTACTTGCAGCCAACAGCTTTGCAGCCAACAGGTAGATCAACTAAACTCCATGTATTATTTTTAAGTAAAGCTTCATATTCATCTTTCATAGCTTGACACCATTCAGGTTTAGAGAGAGCTTTCTTCACGGATGTGGGCTCAATTATATGATTATAGGTTGATCTGTCAATTGTAGTAACAAAGGTTTTAGGATTAAAAATCCCCGCCTTAGCTCTAGTAGTCATAGGATGAGTATTGATCATACTTTGCTCAACAACTCCTGTATCAATAATAGCACTAGGAACAGTAACAGTGGGATCAGTAGTGTTAGTGTCTATAATCACATCATCATTGGTAGTAATAGTGAAATTAATAGGATTACAGTTATCAATCTAACCAGTCTCATCAAGAGGAACCAAAACATTAAGAGGATGATTAATAAAAGAACATTCAGACTTAGAAACAGAGGGAACTATAAAAGGGTTAGGATTTTCCTTTTATGGAAAACGAGACTCATCAAATTTAACATGTCTAGACACATAACATTTACAATTAGGAGATAAGCATTTATAACCTTTATGTTGATTACTATAACCAAGAAAGAGACATAGGTGAGATCTGTATTGTAATTTCTGATGGTTATAAGGTCGTAAAAGAGGGTAGCAAGCACACCCAAAAGTCTTAAGAAAATGATAATTAGGAGGTGTTTGGAAAAGTGTTTGATGAGGACTCAAGTTGTTCAATGAAGGAGTAGGTAAGTAGTTAATGAGAGTAGTAGTAGTTAAAAAGGCTTCTGCCCAAAAATGAAGAGGTAAGGAAACATTGGCAAGAAAAGTTAACCCGGTTTCCACAATGTGCCTATGCTTCCTCTCAGGACTACCATTTTGCTCATGTGTGTGGGGACATGAAAATTGATGTTTAATTCCATGTTTTATTAGATACTTAGTAAATTTAATGTATTCTTTTGCATTATCCGACTGAAGAGCTTTAAGTTTCATGCCTAGCTGAAGTTTAGCAGAGGTTTTAAATTGAACAAAAGCATAAAAAGCTTGAGATTTAGAATTTAAAAGGTAAATCCATGAATATCTAGAATAAACGTATAAAAATATAATGTAGTATCTAGCACCAGAAGAGGAAAGTACAGGAGAAAGGCCCCAAATATCAGTAAAAACAAGTTCAAGAGGACTTTTATATTCAGTAGTTGATTGTACAAAAGGTAGTTGATGAAGTTTACCCATACAACACGAGTCACTCAAAAAAGAATCAGGAAAATGACTACTAGGTATATTACAATGTTTTAAAGCCAATTTCACAATTCTAGGAGAGGGATGTCCAAGCCTTGAATGCCAAAGCTGGAAAAGAGAATGATTAGAGTCCTTTTGAATAGGATGAACAGAAACAATTTGAACTTTTTGAAATTGAGGAAAAACATATAAGTCATCCTTAAGATGCCCTTGGAGGATGATGTCCTTGGTGTCCTGAGTTTTAACATTACAACAATTAGGCCAAAACTCAAAAAATACCCTATTATCTCTTGCAAATTTGGAAACGCTTAGCAAATTTTTAGTTATGGATGGGACATGAAGCAAATTATGCATAACAAAGTGTTTAGATGACATAGGATTATGAAAATAAGAATGACCAACATGACTGATATGCAAACCTGTACCATTACCAATATTGACAGAATCAGTTCCAGTGTAAGCACTCTTCATGGATAGATTGGATTCATCATGAGTAATATGATGAGATGCACCCGAGTCTGGGTACTAGAGAGGGTTTAACACAATTGAAGGAGTTGCAAGAGTAGTGGTCTTCGAGAGATCATATCCACTAGGTTGAAACTGAGTGTTATTGGCCCGAGGATGATTCTGATACTCTTGATTGTACCTATAATAACAGTTAAGAGCAATATGGCCAGTTTTACCACAAATCTGACAGGTGGGTTTATTTTGATTCCAATTGTTTTGACCAGTCTGATTCCAATTTGAGCATCCATTGCCTCTACTAGCATTAAACCTGCCTCTATTGTTCTAATTGCCACCTCTATTATGAAATCTTCCTCCACGAAATTCTCCTCGTGTATTGAAAGCAGATCTACCACGACCTTGATTGGAGTTCTGTCATTGATTTGGACCAGAAACAGTATTGGCATGAATAAGAGGGGTGTATGAACGCTTTTGCTTTTCAAATCTCTCTTCTTGAGCAAGCAGCAATGCCTCTATCTCATCAATAGTGTATGGATCAAGTCTAGACGTGATGGAAGTCACGAAACCGTCAAAATCATCCGGCAAACCATCCAAAATTGCATCAATATGATCTTCATCAGAAATAGGCGACCTAACTGCAGCGAGAGAATCAACAATTTTCTTGATTTTTAGGAGATGTTCATTAATACCTTTGTCTTTCTTGATCATTCGAAGCTGCAATTTCAATTTCTTGATAATAGCTCGTGTGCGCGCATCATAATATACCTCTAATCTCTTCCAAATTTGATAAGAAAATTTCAATCCTACCATCTTGTCAAGATTGGTGAGGACATTGATGCCAAGAGCCACGCGACAAGCAGTTGATCTTGTTGAACGTAATTGGTGTATTCAAGATTCTTCGTCTTTGCTTCAAGATTCTCCGTCTTCGCAGTTTCATTTTCTTTTGTAGCAAAACGTGGTGGAATTGCATCTCCATGAACAAATTTCTCAAGTTTTAACCCTCGAATTGTTGCAAGAACTTGTTGTTCCCAAATCAAGAAATTATCATCATCTAATTTGATAGCAATCGGCGTATTGAGTGTGTGTGGAACGAATTGAGATGCGGAAGCCATGAATGATGTCATAGTGCTCTTGATACCATGTTAGAGTTCAACCATGGAAGAGAGAAAACAGAGAGAAGTATTTTTCTGTATTAATACTCAATAAAACATATTACAGGAGATGAATAAAGTGTCTTATATAGACACAATTACAACTGTTAAAAATAAAGAAAACTAATAACTAATATAACTGGACATATTTTATGACTTTTTATTATTTTTTTTATAAATAAAAGTATTAATAAATAATTTTATGTGATAACTTTTGACAAATTTTCTAGTGGAAATCATTGATGTCCACGTGGCATTTCCTATTCAGAAGGGACCATTATGTTTGATATGAATGGCGGTTCTAGATATTTTGCTATGCTTAATGTTGTTTCACTTTCAAGTCATTCAAATCACATTGCAATTGTTTCTTTGTGTCCCATAGGAAATGTGGAAGAGAAACAACTACTTAGCAATGAGAACCGATTTTGAAGAAGAAGCGGCACAATTGATTAACTCTGATCTTAGGGTTGGTGTCTCGGGTTTTGGAGTCTCCCTCCTCCAATTAATCGCTTCCATTGCTGCTATGTATGTTCTCCAAGCCTATAATATCTCTCTTTCTTGTGGATTGAGTACAGTTTAACAAAAAATTTCAAATGGGTCTCCTTAATTTCACTTCATCTTTCTCCTGTTTTTAAGTGGCAGTTTTATTATTACTGTTGTTGTAGCTTTTGAAGTTAGGGCAATCTCATCTTGCCCTGCGTATGTTGCAGAAGAGAAACTTCTTATGTTAGTTTTGTGACTTGTTTTGTCAAGTTGTGCTGTCATTATTCCATGTCATCTCCTATGATTTTTGTTCTTTTTATGTTCTAAGATCTGACTCAGCACTTTTTATTTTCAAATACATCCGTGTCTCAAAAGTCAAAAAACTGTTTTTCTTTCTCTTTACCAAGCTTCCCATGCAAGGTTTTAAATTGCAGTCATTTTTCATCATTGGGGTTGTAGAGTGCTCAAACACCTTAACACTGCCGAGAATTGTGGATAGGTGTGGCCAATTGCAGTTGTAATATGGTCTCATAAACTTCAAAAGCCTTGATGTTTCGGCCATAATTGCAGTTTTATACCACACGTGCCTGCAATTTTGGCAATTGCAACACAACTGCACAACTGTAATTTAAAACTTTTGGTTATGACTCATGGGTCTCAACAGTGGGGAGATGCACCTAGCCCTGCTGGCAATAGGTTAATGCTGTTATGTAAGCTTACAGTTTACAAAAAAGAGAATAAGAAATGGACATGGTTAATCATAGATCAATTATTGGCTTGGATATGATCCATTTGCAAGGCGTAATGCTAGGAGATGAGATCCATCATCTTCTTCTGTTCTTGCCATTTAAATTTGAGTTCTTCACTGAACACTGTTTCAAATGGCTCAAGAATATTAAAAATGCTTTTTATTATAGATAATTAATTTTACTTTATATTTACTTTTTGATGCTAATTAGTTCCGTTAGTTTTATGTGTATGGCAAGGGGATAAAAATGTTAGAAATTGTTTTTCTCAGAGATTTTTTCTTGTTTTCACTGATAATTTTTATTTGTACACCTAAGCTATTTGTTGATATTGGACCGCACAAACTGGAAAACGAACATTCTTACATCACTACTCATTCCATACATTTTCTTCAGCCTGCCTTCATGGATTTTTGGCGTCTTCAGGTGATTACATTGTCATGCATTGTTGTTGTTGTTATTAACTTCATCATACCTTGAATTTTCTTCAATATCAAGTTTTTCTTAATTGTATCTTACTATCTTTCTACTTACTTTTATGGCTATACAGGGAAGAGTTTGGGAAATGGATTGCTCTCATCGCTGTTGTATTACGCCTTTTCCTTCCAAGGCACTTCCCTGGTATGATACATTTTTGCTGAGTGATCTGGATCTTGTTTGTAAGATGCACATTATAAGTGGTGTCTCCGAAAACTATTTGCTGGAATCCATTAATGTAGTTGTATATACTCCTCTGTTTCACTGTAATATATCACATCCTGTGTATATATTTATATTATTGTGTAGGAGCACATTGAGTGAGAACTTTTGATTATATATTTAAACGCACTGTTAGAGCTCCCTACAACTTAAAAAAGGAAAAGGAAAATGATACTAAGAACATTTTCCCCCTTTCAATAATTGGGTGAGCATTCATGAGTCATGACTGTCGTTGCAGATTTTCTGGAGTTGCCTGCAGCTTTGATTCTTCTTATTGTTGTAGCTCCTGATCTCTTTGCAAACAGCTGTAGAAGCAATGCAGTTGGGGTAGTAATATGCCTTATCATTGCGTGTTATTTGCTGCAAGAACACATTCGGGCATCGGGTGGTTTTAGAGATTCCTTTACAAAAGCTCATGGGTTATCAAATACAATTGGCATAATCATTCTGTTAGTCTATCCCATCTGGACACTGGTTCTCTACATTGTATAGGCACACAAAGATAGATAGAGTACCAAATTTGGACTTTGTTGATGTAAGTGAATGATACAATTTGCTGTTGTTTATCTAGTGGGACAAGACTATTGCTGTTGTTGATGATGATGATGTAAATGAATGTGTATAAATGTGAAATAGTTTTTGCATGTGTATAAATGTGAAATACTTAAAAGATTTTTTGATTTGAACTGAACCTTAAAAGTAAAATTGATGAGCTATGTGGTGTTTCCATGCTTTGTGTATTCACAAAACGTATATTATATGTGAAATCATCGTGCTTCTATGATGAGGGATTTAATATGGATCTCCGCGAAGATTATACGCCATTGTGTTTCTTGGAAGTGCTATTCTTCCTAATTAAGCAGGAGGATTCTGTTATGAGTACATTATTGAGTATAATAAGAAGCTTAAGATACTTAATCCTTGAGGTTCTTCTATCAAATGGACTAGTCTTTTGGAGTGAACTCTTCACTTATGCTTAAGTTATAAGTTATAACAACTGATATTTTCATTGGGAGATGATTAGAAAAGGGTTACTTATAGGCTTGACTAAGATGCAATGACTGAAGTTGTCAACATAAAATATAGGACTGGGTCAATGTTGATAAAGTGAAGCAGTTGTGGATGTTGGCTTTTGAAGGAAGTGAAAATTTTATACGTCTTATATAGAGTAAAATAAGAAGCTTAAACAAAGTTTTAATTGATCTTGAGAACTCAAGAATTTTGGTACAATGTCCATAGTTTTTTGAATGTTGAGAAACATAGTTGAGCCCGAGAGAGGAAAGAATTTGAGAATACTTGGAAGACTTAGGAGTGTATTATTGATACAAATGAGAGAGGTGATACAATTAGGCCATAGGTGTGCGGTGTGCCGTGTATATTAGTGAGGAATCAACTATCATCTAATCTCAACTAACTATAACTAACCTTCTAACCCTAGTTACCTACTCAGTGCCACTAGTAATGCTTGCAATACTGAATTTGTAGGGGAACGGGTGTTATGCTATGTTTGAATGCATGTGCATGTATATTACTCCCCCTGGATTGATATATAAGCAAAAAAAATACTTAAAATTTTTAAACTTAAATATAAATAAATTTTGTCTAACTTAATCCTATTTAATGCTATTATTCTGCAACAAGGCTCTTAAATTAAAGGTGATTACTATATACAATAAATGCTATTAAGGGTAGTTTAGTAAGTAAAATTTAGTTTTTATATCAATAAATTAAATGAACTTAACTAATTTTTGTAATGTGTGAATTTAGATATTTTTTACTTATAGTAACTTTCAATCTTTTAAGAATAATATTTTTATTTAATTAGATTTGACGTCTATTATAGTTTTCGGCTTTTCGCCACATTTTAGAAGTATCTTTATCGGATAGAATCACAACATTTAAAAACCCAGAGATAATACCAGACGTAGAAATACGGTAAACTTTATCACATTCCACCATATTCTCAGGCTAAGATTGTGGATTAGATGATTCTGAGGAATTACTGTACTCTTGAAATAATAAGCCATACCAAAACAAGAAAAATGAAAGATAAAGCATTTTGTGCCAAAAGAAAATACAGATTTTGGGAGGGGCCACACAACTTCTAGGTTCTTAGAATTTTGGAAAAATCTTATTGTGATATTTTACAAGAATGACATAAGGAGTTGCTGTTTCAAAATACGACCTATTCTATGTATATAGTTTTGCATTTTAGTATTAATACAATAATGAGCCAAAATATACAGAATGCCAAATGGATTTTGCTACACAACTGACAGAAATCAGAAATTATTGGACATGGCATGGTCGCTTGCTGCATGGTTCACACCATTGCTCCCTTTGCTTCCTTGTACAGATGATCAATATGATCCTGCAAAATAGTGTTGGCAAAGAGTAATATTTATTTAACACTCCAACATCTGATTGGAATTCATAAATAAGCATTTATACAAATTGTGAATCAAAATACCAATTCAAATAGTTTAGGAAACATCAGGAAAAAATACTAAAGTTAAAAAAGCTATGAAATTTTGATCACAGCAATTGAAGCAAACCTTATAGTACTTGAGCAACTGTGGTCTTTTCAATTTAAATGTTGGAGTTATTAAGTCTCTCTCCATGTCGAAGGGATTTGGTTCCAGATGAATGGCTTTTAGCTGCTCAAATCCTTTAAGCTGAGAGTGTTGTTTTTTTCATGTCAGATGTAGTTAACACAAGAAAAATATATCAAAAAACGAGAATTAGAAGCAAAGGATAATGAGTTATATGTACATACTTGGTGTTTCTGGCCAGTACTATTGAGTTCATCCAAAATGTACTTTCTTGCTTTTAGATTATCACATAAAGATTTGAAATCATCAGTCAAATTGTGCTGTAGTGCCCAATCCTCAATGGCCTTCCTTTCTGGGACCACAACAGCCACCAAGAATGACTCAAAGCTGTTACCATACACCCAAATCTGCATATGAAAGAATTTATTTTTTATTCATTATTGAATTACATAACTTTAGTATATGAAGGTACATTGCAATGCTACTTCCTAAATGAATTTTCCTAGTAAACTTAATATCTTACAAAAAATGAACTAAATCAAATGTTTCTCTACTTTTACCAACTGTTCTGTGTTTGTAGCAGAAGCATACCGTTGTTATAAGAGGGCATTGCAAATACTTGTTTTCAATGTTCTCTACTGCAATGTATTCTCCTTGAGACAATTTAAAGATATTCTTTTTCCTATCAATAATTTTCATGGCTCCATTTGGTTGCCACTCTCCAATGTCACCTGCAATATTTATCTGTATGTGATTTTTTTTTTCTTGATTTACGAATCACAGTGTGAATTTTGAATCTAGAACAATATGGATTTACCTGTATGAAACCAACCATCAACCATAACCTCTTTGGTAAGATCTTCACGCTTGTGATAACCAGAGAACAAGGTATTTCCTCTCAGACAAATTTCTCCACGGGCTACATTGGAGAGGGCATCATATCCCATCTCTGGCACAGATTCAAGCCTAGCCTCAATTGTTGTCATGGGGACTCCAACTGTTCCTGTCATAGAATACACATCACCTATTGCCGTGAAACACCCGGCACAACTTTCTGTAAGACCTGGTGACATGGACATGTACACAATTAACATGTGACCATTACAATAAGATCATGCTAGAGTTGTTTTGTAGGACTGAACCATCATTTCTATTTTCTCGTAAGAGACGAGTTTTACAAAATTTAACCCTTGATTCAGAAAAGTTTGATGATGACTTTTTCTATGTAGTAGAAGATTCATATATCATACCATATCCTTGTGATAATGTAGATCCGCTAGTGACCCTCATAAACTCTTCCACATGCCTAGGCAAAGGTGCAGCTCCTGATAACAAGATACGAACACGCCCACCTAGTGCTTGTTTTGTCTGTAAACAAAGCCGATACTTTAGTTTTGAAACAAACTTTCTGAAGAAAAAGTCATAAAGATCAGTGGTATTTATACCTTATCAAACACAAGTCTATCGAACAGAGGTGCTGCTTTGTGTTGTGGAAGACCCTTCTCCAGATATTTTAACTTGCTGTCATTGGACTCCAAATTAGTTTACACACACACACAGATAATTTAAACACTCGAGTTTAATGATGAAACATACTAGTTGTAAGCACACTGAAACAATGTACTCTGCAGTATTCCTGCGGAAGAAACTTTGTTTTTGATACCTTCAAGTGCAAAGATTATAGTTAATTCTTATTGGATAATGTAGTCACACAATGAAAAGGATCTTAAAAAGTCATTGCTTAATATCATGATTCAAATATGGTAGTCACAGAACCAAAGATGTTCTTTAGAAGCATTCTTGTTTTACCAGCATAAATACGGTCAAAAACTCTAGGAACACCACAAAATATGGTTGGTTTTAGTGCCTGAACATCATCCAGCAAGAACCTGACATCCTTCACAAATCAACAAGAAAATTCCATAAGAGGCATTTAAACCGAACACTTATAGAATGAACCAAAAACTAATTCCATGACGTGAATCAAAATCTTACGCCTTGCCAAAATCCTATTGATGAACCCTTGAAGATGCAATAGGTCTCCATTATTTGGTCATATACATGAGCAAGAGGAAGAAAGGAGAAGTACACATCGTCTTCAGCTGCCTATAGTATTTAACAAGGATGAGATACTCAACCTCAAAATTCTCGTAGTATTAACTTTGAATATGATTTTCACCAACCGTTATTTGAAATTTGATTACCCCATTATTGCTTTTAAGTATTAAGTTGCCGTTTGAGAATCATTGTGACATTTATCAACATGGAAGTCAAAGAAAGATTGGGATGGCAGTTTGCAGAGTAAATAGTGTACGTTATAAACATGAAACTAAAGAAGCTTCCAGAAAAATCAAACTTACCACTCTGTCTGTTAACATAATTATGTGGTCAATAGACAATACTTCAGACATGAAAGCCTCATTCTTAATAATGACACCTTTGGGTTCTCCAGTTGTTCCACTTGTGTACATTATTGTGCAAATATCAGTCTTCTTTTTTGATGGTAGATCCCAATGCAGACACCCCTAGCCAAAGGAAGAAAAGGGAAGATATTAAATTGTTATAGTGATATTTCAGTATAAACAAAATGGTTCATAATCCTGAATTTGAAAACCAAATAGGCAATTGAAACCAGTTTTAACATCTTACCAGATCGAGAAACTCTCCCCATGAGAAGCAGGATGTGCCATGATCCTCAGCTTCCTTCTTTTGTGTGGTTGAAACATTTCCAAAGCTTACAATAGCTACACCAATAATACACAGAGCTTGGTCAAGCATAAAATGGAGGAGGAAAGACCTTCAATCTAGGAGTAACAAAGATGGCAATGTTTCACCTACTTTTAAGATTTGAGGAACACCGATCAAGACATGACAAAATCTGTGGAAACAGATAATTATTTCAGTAGGGGGAAAAGGTGAGAGATACTGTGCAATATCTCTGATCATAAACTAATTATCTTTCAGAAATTTAATGAATAATTTTACTAATTACAATTATGTGCAGTAAATGACAACATAAAAAAGGATTGGCAGTAAGCATGACATATTTTCAACTTCAAAATATGAAACCAGACTTAACATTACTGTTCTAAGAAATTGGCTGACATTAATATCATATAATAACTTATTCATTTAATTCAACTAAGAAGGATGCTAATGGTTTTCTCATTGCATACTTTCTTAGTAGACATGATTGATAACTTGATAGCTGATGGAGATAGTTATGTGTGGAAAGTAGCATGCAAAATATGGCAAATTAAGTGTCAAGCAATGGAATGATGATCCTTCCATAACATGCATATATACTGAGGGAGAGTCAAGATGGAAGAACCAAACAATGCTAGCATGGTTTGAACTTTAAGCAAAGCCATATCACTAAATAATAGAAGCAGCAAAATTATTTGTCGCACTAAATCCGGGGTGACTCAGACAACATGGTAAATATTATTAATAGAACAATTGACTGTTTTAGGTAGTCCAACTTGAAATAATAAAAGATTGTGCTAAAAGAACTAGAACATACTGATGGGATCTTTTTCTCCTGTACAAACGCAATTGAGACTTCAGCATGATTTATGATAAATTCCACTGCATTAGGTCCTGGTAGGCATAAACCCAAGTCAAAGTCATTTCCCAGCTGATGGAATGACAGAGTGAATGAGTGTTGAGTAAGAGAAAATTGATGATATATGCTCCAATTTGTTTCCACAAATTCTTCAGCAGAAATGTTTCAAATGATAAAAGCAATGACACTGAAACATTTGCCAAGTCAAAAACACATACCAAGCGTGTCATATAATGGAACATATGACACTGCACTGCAATTGCAAGCCTGCAAAACAGCAAAGTTGAACCAGGAGAAGTCCGTTTAGAATAATTAACAAAGCCATTTAATTCACAATAATTAAATGAATAATATATGTTGGTGTAAACAACGTGCTATACCTCCATTGCAATGACCCATTCAGGGCAGTTAGACCCATATATGCCACAACGATCTCCCTTATGATTTAAAACCACTAGTTAGATTATTAATTTCAATGCGAAGTATCTTGAAAGTGCAAGAAATGTTGCAAACTCACAGGATTGACACCACGGCTCCTCATGGCAGAACCCATTTTCATGGCACCATCATAAACCTCTTGATACGTGAGCCATGCATAGGAACCCACCTGTAAATTCACCTCAATGTTCGCATGATATTTTCGAAATTTAAGGGAATTAATTTTTCCCCCCAATAATTTAGACTCTTAAATCTATCCATAACAAGAAAACATGTCCCCATTTGCTACCCCTTTTTGTGTTCCCTCAAGTTAGTTAAAAAGTGACATACAAGCAAAAAGTCTAACAATCAAGAAAGTGAGCATTATTTTACTAGTTTGTTGTGTTTGTGTCACTTATTAATTAGGGGTGGACAGGAAACAAAAACATGTGATTTTAATCTTAACAAACGGTGCATGGAACCAAAATACGTGAAGTTAATACCTGAGATTCGGTTTTTTGACGCCTACCCAGCATTTTGTTGTTGGGGTTCCTCTTAGCTGATTCCCTGCCAAAATCATCAAAACTGCTGAGAACTGACGTGTATTTTTTCTTTATTTATATAAAATTATCAGTCTTTTGACACATCACTATGATACGTACAATTTGGATGAAGAACATTACATGTAATTGATAAATTGAGAAATTATAATACAGGAATTAAAAGATAAAAACTAGTTTAAACTAGTTGATATGAGACTATAAATTAAATCAGTATTGTTGGATGAAACGCAGTACTAATGATGTTACTTCTTAATGTGGTCCAAATAACAAAACTAGGCTGTACTTAGATATATTCCATTCAGATTTGACTCCACCAAAACGAGTAAGTGCCATAAATGACTAAGTTTACTCACTTTACCCTCTAAAGTGTGTTGCTAAGTTCAAAAAAGAATCCGTTCAATGATTAAGATAACAGAACTTAAAGGATTTGTCATGTTCTTGTGTGTCACTAAACAGAACAAAACGGATAAAATCCTCCTATAAAATAACTTAATGCATTTTTTTTTATTCCTTTTTCAACACAGTCCACTCTATACTTAAGGGTCAGGATTTGAACTTAAACAACTTAATTAAGGAATACAACCCGTTGCCACTTATACAAATGAGTGTTGGTATAAACTAATGCATTATAAAGATATGTTGAGAGCTGACGAATTTACAAGATGATGAAATTATTCTTAACAAAGTATATATTATGGACCTAACTCAAATATATAAAATCTGCTTATAAAGTAAACTTTGCTCTCTAATTATATACTATGTTTTGGTAGTATCAGTGGCCGATGTGAAATCTGTATGAAAAAGTAAACAAAATTATATATATTAACCTGAAGAAATCCCAAGGAGACTGATAATCAGAAGGCAACTCCAAGAGACCATCTTTGGCATAAATGCTCCTATAGACAGGTCCTACAGATGGCTTTCCATCATCAGTTGCAGGCCTTCCCTCCTCAACCTTCACAGTGTAAACCTCTGGCATTGTATTCCGGAATGGAATGTGCAGTGTGTGTTTCAGAACTGTGTCTAGGGGATGATAATTATAATGATTGGTGATTTTAGTCACAAGTGAAGTTGTGTCTGAGGCCTGTAATAAAGGCAAAGAAAGAAGTGCATGTGATCCAGCAGGGAGGGGGTTGAGCCAAAGCAATAAATTCAGTGATTAGTTTTGGTGCACAATTTCTTAACAAACTTTTGTAGGCTGTTTTTATTACTACTAACCCTCTTTGGCTCTTGTGTTTGCATTTTTTCATACACCCTCTATGAGCATTTATATTGGCTGCAAAAGTTTGGTGAAGCTACCCTTGCAATTTTCCTAAAGACAAAATGTGAAACAAAAGAAAATAAAGGGCCAATAATCTTTGGTTGTATAAGAAAAGGAAAATATTCAAGACATGCTCAACTTCTTTTCTATATTATTGTTTTTTCTTATTTGGAAAATATCTTTTTTCTCACGACACCACTGATCATATTTATCAGTCACTTTCTCTCTTGTCCTTTTATTTTTTTTACTATTATTATATTATTATTATTATTATTTTGAAAAGAAACAAAAGCTATGGACTTCGTCCCATTACTACAGTGGAGAGTTTTGATTAATAAACCTTCATGGTACTAAGGTTTTACGTTTAATAATGCATTGCATGCAGATTAATGAGCACAATTGGTGATGGTAAAGGCATTTGTCTTGCGAATAATGCACCCTTAAATCATGCATGATCTTCCTAATTTTGGTCAACATTGTGATAGTGATCACAATGGTGTCCCACACGCACATTAATTTTGGGTCTGTATTTTCTCAATCAAAGTCGTATCCAATGCCGGCTATTCATTCTGTACTCCAGTTTTCAGAATTTCAGCAAAATCTAAAAATAAAAAATACATGGTCTCATTTTTAATTTCTTTGAATACTTGCTAGCTGTAAAATGTACTGCACTTTCTGTCTCTAGCATATTCTGCACCATGTCTTCCCATTTCCCGATTTGTAACATATATTTTACTAGTAACAAGTGGGTGAAGATGGATTGGAAGATAGAAATAGTCAATGGGAGCAGTAAACCAGCAGAGAAGAAAGAGAAAAGATTAGTTGAGGAAGGTTTGGTTAATGGAATGAGTGATGCATGAAGTTGGAAACTGGTGTAACAAAACTTGTCACTAGGCGTTGCCGTGCACACAATAAAAACCAGTGCTTTTTAAGATATATATTAATACCAAATATATAACTGATAATTAATTTTTGTTACATTATAACTACATCTTAAAAAATTAAAAATAATTCAAAATCTAAATTATTTAAAAAAAAAAAATGAAAGTTATAAATAATTTAAAATATCAATTTTCACTTAACTATAAGTTTTTCTCATTTTAATAATATTTATTTCATGTAATAAAGAATAAGCATGAAAATTTTTAAATTTTTAAAAATTAATTTGAAAATAAATTAAGACATTACAAGCAATGATTATAATGTAAAATAAACTAATATGATAATTATTTAAAAGAAAGCTTATGAAGCACAAAAATATAAAAATTAATGAAAAATTTAAAAGTGATATATATATATATATATATATATATATATATATATATATATATATATATATATTTATCTTATTGAGATTCGAAGATGATACTATATTAATAAGTTCTGTTTAAGTCATAAATAGTTTTCCTTATTAACTTAATCAAAAGTTATTTATTTTCAAATTTTACTCTATAGATATAAGTAGCTTAACTTTTTAAAAGTTTTTATAAAAGGTGGTTGGCTCCATTTTTCCTTTGAGAAAAAAGATAAGCTGGTGAAATCACCTCATAATATTGTGTAATTGTAGAGATGATTGAAGTGATCTTGATTAAAGACATAGGACAAGAGGAGATTTGTTGAAACAACAATGCTAAACAAAGTCAAACATTTTTAATTGGCCTTTCGAGAATGGAAAGAAAAGTAGAACATTAATTGAAAAGATGGAAGGTTGTAACCCTTACCTAACTATTCATGCTACCATTAACTTGGCATGCAACATTAATTACCAACCACATGTGACCACTGCAAATGAGTAATTCAAGTAGGTAAGCATGGCCAAATCATGGAATTATAACTCTTCACTCAATTTTTTTTTATATAAACTTAATTAATATTTAGTTATTGTATGATTTTAATCATCATTTATAATTTTTTCAAAAGTGTATTAGTCATTTTACTAGAACAATAATTTTTTGTTTACAAATATTTATTTCTTTTGAAAAAAGTGAATTTATTTGGTTCCTGGCTATATACTACTGTACTTTGATGTAAGTTAGAATTTCCCTTAATTTAAATATGTCATCTTTTGTGTGTTTAGATTAATGTGTTAATAAATTAATATTCCTTGACTTTTTATATTAAAAATCACTTGTCCTCTTAAATATGTGGATTTTTAGATTCCGTGTAAAATACTGTGTTATTGAATTTGTGTAATGCGATCCGAACCAAATAATTCAGAATGAGTTTTCAATTTAATTACATGAACAGCTTATTTGATGTTTCTTCTAATTAATATTTGGATATTATAAAGAAATGGCAACAGACAAGGCATAACTATGTATTAATTACTTTTTCAGCCATTGTAATTGCAGTTTTTAAATAAATATATATAAGATGACAATGGGTTGGAATGGCCACGTGTAATCGCAACCCATTCTATTGAATATGAAATAAATTCCCCTTGTAAATATATACAAATAAATACTATATTTAAATTTATAAATTACATATTTAAATAAACAAATATTTTTAAATATATTAGTTGTATTTTAAATTTACAATAAATAATTTATATTATAACACAAAATTTTATTTTATTATGAATAATTTATTTTAAAATATTAAATTTAAATTATAAGTAAATATGATAAATAAGAATTAAAATAAATTAAAAAATTACTAAAAATTTTCTTGTCAAATTTTATTTTCTAAAATATTATCGAAGTTTATAAGAATATTTCTATACAAAATAATCACTCATATTAAAATGATAGATTTGTAAGAATTTACATATATCCATGAATATTTTTTTAGTATAAGATAAAAAATCAAAACAAAGAAAAGAATAGACGATGGTCGGCGTGCACAATCGAATAATGTAGTCCATCTAGGCAATGAATTTTGACCGGATATATTAAGTTATTAGGTTATTTATTTAAATTATTTAAAAATATTTATAAAAAAATTTATTGAACGTATAAATTGTTCAACTTAATGCATATTTTCTTCATTAGTTATTGTTAGACGATTTTGGTAAGTGAATCAATTGTAGAAGTAGTATAATGATGACTAAATATCATTTTTTAAAGGGTTTATACAATACACGATAATAAATATATTTAATAATTATTTAGATAAAATTTTAATAATAAAGAAACTTAAAAGAAATTTAACTTTACTAATCCCAGAACTTAGTCCTCATGCCACATTATTAGAATAATATTTTTACTATTTTTCTTCTTTAAACTCATAATTTTGTACCTATTATATTTCTGCAAATAGCATACATTCCAATCACAAACATACAAACAAGAAGTGAAAATATATCTCATCCATCACAGTATATATAAAGTATAAGGATAGTCACATACACACAATTCATAGAACAATTACATCATATACATATTCTTTCATCAATTCCTCTCATACAATATTAATAACAAGCTAACATATTATATTGCATTTATCATCATTATTCCATCAATCACAAATACATCATATTCATTAATTAAGATTCATGAGATGTATGCTCTTAACCCTATATGCATGTGGTACCAATCTCCTCCTCGTCATCAAGTGCACAAAATAATCTATGAGTAATGGAACGAGACCACAAAATCGAATAGTGTAGGGGTCACTTCACAACAATGGTTCCCCCAAAACTACCTCACTAGGGGATGTCTATAAGGGTCTCGTCGAAGTGTTACAGCTGACCATGGTAACCTCCTATTCCTAATAGAGGTTTCCCTACCATAACACTCCTTAAGGCATAGGTAGATAATCTATGATATTCCACCTGTATTAACTCACTTAAAACATCTTATTCTCATAAGAAACATATAAAACTCATATTGCTCTATAAACATAGGTTTTCATAGAATTTACGGGCACTTAAAAAATAACACAACTCAAATTATTTTTTCTATCTTGAGCTTTTATGACATTGTGTGATCTAAATGCAATATCTAGAGTTACACCTATGATATCAAATTGATATTAACTTTATTAGAAAGTTAAGATAATTATCTACAAGTTTTATGTTGAATTAAAGAGTTGATTTTACAGTATATTATTTTTAAAAATTATAAAATCGTAGTATTTTAGCCTAATTATGACATTTTGATCTTTGCTCACTAATTTGATCTTCACTTGAGTTCTAGATATCTTTTTGGGTGATTCCAATACCATTGAAAAGCTAACATCTAAAGATACGAGTCTTATGAATACCAAAAAACCTAATTCTACCATCTAAGGGCTCTCGCAATGATTATAAGTGTTTGACGTTATGTTTTTCGCACAAAATGTGAGACTCAACTTGTGACTCGCATAACTTACTCGTTTCTTAACATTTTTATGTAATTCTTGTGTCTAAACTGTAGTCCCAAAGGGATACTTTCCAACTTAACAAACAAAACCTTATTTGGTTAATCTCATACAGAGAATTCATCTAAGTACCGAGATGTATCTGTATTAGAATTTTCAAAATCAAATAAATCATACAAAATCTCTAAATCATACAGTAAAAATCCCTAAAATTCATACATAACAACCTTAACCCTCAAAAGCACAATCTTAATATCAATTTAATTGATCCAAACCAATATGAATCATAGTATACAACAGTCATATAATTTCAGTCATTTTCATATTCAAGAATCCACACAAATAGATAACCTAAGAGACTTAGAGTTTGCCTCTCTACCCTTATCCCTCGTACATGCTCAAGACTTAATAATTCCCTCATCTTACCTAGGGTTATGTGTAACATTGAAAAAAAAAAAAAAAAGAAGAGAGGCTGATTCAGTAGCCAGTTTGACCTATCTTAACCAGGTTAGGTATAGAACATCGTTAGGAACTTCGAAGAAAAGCAGGTATAGACAACAATAGGCGATTTCTCAAGTGTGCCACTTAGACTCAGAAGTCCATAAAGAGAATAATACATAACGGAAATATAAATGGTAATGATTGATAATGAATATTGGCA